AGGGGCGACCCTAGTCAAAATCAATTTTCTCACTTTTTTCTTCGAGGGTTTATAAAAATGGATTGAAACTTTGCATAAATATTCAAGTGCTTAAAACAAAAACAAATAAAATATCCTAAAATTTTTTTGAGCAAAGAACCAAGAAGGAAATACATTTTCAATTTTGGACTAGGGGCGACCCTAGTCAAAATCAATTTTGTCACTTTTTTCTTCGAGGGTTTATCCAAATGGATTGAAACTTTGCATAAATATTCTATTGCTTAAAGCAAATACAAATAAAACATCTTAAAATTTTTTTGAGCAAAGAACCAAGAAGAAAATACATTTTCAATTTTGGACTAGGGGCGACCCTAGTCAAAATCAATTTTGTCACTTTTTTCTTCGAGGGTTTATCCAAATGGATTGAAACTTTGCATAAATATTGAAGTGCTTAAAGCAAATACAAATAAAACATCCTAAAATTTTTTTGAGCAAAGAACCAAGAAGGAAATACATTTTCAATTTTGGACTAGGGGCGACCCTAGTCAAAATCAATTTTCTCACTTTTTTCTTCGAGGGTTTATAAAAATTGATTGAAACTTTGCATAAATATTCAAGTGCTTAAAACAAAAACAAATAAAATATCCTAAAATTTTTTTGAGCAAAGAACCAAGAAGGAAATACATTTTCAATTTTGGACTAGGGGCGATCCTAGTCAAAATCAATTTTCTCACTTTTTTCTTCGAGGGTTTATCCAAATGGATTGAAACTTTGCATAAATATTCTATTGCTTAAAACAAAAACAAATAAAACATCCTAAAATTTTTTTGAGCAAAGACCCAAGAAGGAAAAACAATTTCAATTTTGGACTCATCCAAAGTTTAATTTAAAATAAAAAAAAATCACAGTGAACTTTTAATTTGAAAAATTCGTAAGAAATGAAAGTTTTTTGCTTTTTCTGAAGCAACAGCTGTTCCTACCTTGCCCAAAAACAATACAGCTCTTCTATAGAGCAGCACGGATCAAATGTAAAAAACTAGAAGTCTCTACGATGTCTCGTTATTGAGATTTATTGCTGATTAACTTGCTTGCTTGCTTGCTTGTTTGCTTACAGAAAGCGTATTTTGCGATTTTCTCAGCAATGCCGCAACCAATTTGAAATCTGTTTTTTTGTAAATGATGTAAAATTTCAGGCACAAACTTTTCTTCTGTGACCTTTTATAACCAATTTTGCTTTGTTTTCTCACAAAATGCGAAAAACTGATTTTTCAATCTGAACAAAACCAATAGATTCACACGTGAAAGCGGTGTGAATATAAAAATTATACAAAAGCAGAAATACATCCATCGAGTTCCGTTAGAGTCACTTTTATTACGAATGATATAAATGTGATTTCCAAATGCTTGATCATTTCCATTCATTGAGCCACAATCAATACAAAGTATTGAAAATTCTATTCTCGCTTTAAAGAAACTTAAACTTGATTCGTAAGGAAAATAGTTTCTTCTTCCAAAGACCTTTCTACTGATATATACTTTCTATATGGTATGTTTTTGCATTGAAAAGATATTCAGTCTTAAATGTTGAATTATATGTTACGCTATTTTCCCTACGAATCATTCATGGTAAGGTATCAATATTGATAACATTTATTTATAAATAGATTACAGATGATGAAGTTTCTCTTGGAAAAATGATGCTAGTTGGATCAATTTTCAAACAACTTCACGCTACCGTATCTTATGAATTCAATTCGGATGGCTGCTGCGCAAACGTTTCTTTTATTGGCTTAAGAGATTGACTGTAATTTATCATTTTAAAGAATAAATTTTGATTCGTGGCTCGCTATAGATTTCCCATTTTCTGGATTTGGTCAAAATCTTGTAGCAAAAGCAGCAAAATTAAGAACACGATGGAACCAATTATTATCATTAAAATTGGAAAATGAAATCGAAAGGATTTCAAAAATGGAAGACTTTGTATTTTTGGAACGAGATTTGGCTGACGTTATGAATACAAAAAAAAGACAAAAATATTCAAGTTGTTGTACAAAACCGTTTGCAACGAAAATCTCAACGCATTTCGTCTCGATCCAAATCAATTTTCTGACAGTTTTTCATGTGTTTTCAACGAGGTTTGTGCTTTGACTTTGATTTAAATTTTCGTTATCGTATCTTATTAGGTATTACAGCTTTATTTTTAACGGGTAAAATGAGAGGTTTATATGACTGAAAATATTACTTATTGGCTGTATTGAGGAGACAGATTTGATCATGCAAATGGAAGAGGATATATTTTCTACTGAATTTAAATGTTCAGGCTGTGGTCTTTTATATAATTTTACAGATATTCAAAAATTACAGCATCAGCATGTTTGTAAAACGGTTAAAAATGAGACTGTGTATTAAGAATATTCAGATAAATTTTTAATGTCTTCTTCGTCGAATCAAAGGGTTTTAACTGCAAAGTTTGCAGAACAGAAATGTGCATGAATAATATCAAGATATTTTAAAGCACAAAAAAAAAACTGTAAAACAATTAACGAAGAAGCGAAATAAATACAAATACTTTGCAAGACCTTCGATTATATCGCGACGACTTCTTTATCATTTTTTTTATCTATTTTATACTTATCCCCACAACTCATCGAAATGTAGTCTTATCAGATAATTTATAAATTGATTTTCTTAACACAATTACTTTACTGGATTTCTTTTGCCTTTTGTCTGTCGTGTAAATCGGTAGTACAATAGTCTTGTCTTTAATTACTAATTTTCATGTGAATAAAATCCTAGCGTTTGTAAAAAAATAATATTAACAAAATAATGGACTTGAACGAGAATTCTTCGGATAATTTATGGTTTATTTTATCCATACTATTCATCGTTATGTTTGTCATATCCTTTATAGTAAATATATTTTTGTGGATAGTAAGAAAGCAGAACTTGTTAGAAATAAGAAGTGAACTTCAACATATGCAAAGGCAACAAAACCAACAGACAAATGTTTTTTATGGAGGCAATGTCAAGTCAACGTACTTATAAGTAATGTTTTTAATTTTTCCTAAATATCAATCAATAAAGTTAAAGTTAACTAGTGTATCGGGAAGAAAGAAACCCAATGCGGATAAATTCACACTGTTGAATATGCCAAAAATTCTTAATTTCTTATTTTTTTAAATTTTTCAAACCAAATTAAAATGTGTTTGCTTCCAGAAAGCGTATTTTGTGATTTTATCATAATGCCTCAACTAATTTGAAATCTTTTTTTTTTCAGAAGATGTATAATTTCAAATAATTACAAAATTCAAAAAACTGAGTTTTTTAATCTGAGCATTACCAATACCATCACACGTGAATACGGTGTGAATATTAAATATAGGGTAAACCATGTTGAAATTTGTGCGATCAAATGAAATGTAAATCATCTAAACTAAATCATTTATAGAAAAAATTTGTATGCAGTTCTTTGTAAAGCAGTTATTAAAACTTTTCTACTTCATTTGGGATTGTGTTGAAGGTTCTTATAGCTTTAAATTTCAATTATTCAAAATCCTATACAAAATTAAAGTTTTCATCTTTTTAATTATTTGGACTCAACTAATGATTCTTCTTACCCCATCAGAGTTGAAAAACAAATTTTTTTTATTGCTTTTTCGATTAAAAAAGTTTCTGCGTTCGAAAAGTCATTGGAAGTCCTTCAAAAATTGATTTTAAAATGAGTTGTTTTCAAATGTTGAAATTTGTGCGAAATTTTTTGACAAATTTTGAAATTTGTGTGTGTTTTGTCGTAGAAAGCAATGGCACATTTTGTCAACAAAAATAATTATTTACAATCAAAATCGGGTTTTTTGAAGCATGTATCAAGATTAAGACAAAAATAACACGAAGAAGACATGAACTGAGAGTAATGAGAGAATATCTTCGAATATGAACAAAAAAATATTCGAATATATTCGAATATTAAAAATTCAAAAATGAAAAAATACGTTATTTGTTGATTAGCATTTTTCAACTTGCCTGTAATTTGTAAATGATAAACAATTCATATATGAGAATTAAAGATATTAAATTGTTAAATATGCTATAATTAATGATTTTTTGTGTATCCTTTGGCAAAAAGCTTTCAAAAACTTACTGACTGTTAGAAAATTTGAATCTCAAAAGACCGTTAAATGAAAAACTTTTTCTATATGGAAATTCATTGGAACAAATTATGTAATTATACTATAACTAATGTTGTAAATAAACCGCACATTTATGTGCGCACATTATATTCGAATACGATTCTGCCCAACCCTAATGAAAAATGTGTTCGACTCAAATATTCATACAGAATCAAGAAATTTCAAAAATGCAACCAACTTCTCGTCATACTCAGTCAACATAAATGATATACATATCATTATGTAAATCTTGAAAAAAGTTCATTAATGCAGCAGTGTCCTTTAAAATTGAAATGGAGTTTATTTGGAAGTGTTCCTTAAAAGCAATCACCATTTAAAATCCTCGAAAATGCGTAAAAATATTGTTTGTTTACATTTCTGAATTGAAATGTGTCAAAAAACGCACAAATTTTAAAATTTTCCGCACAAATTTCAACATTTGACCAAAAATGTCAAATTTCTTTTCCTATAAGCAGCATAACCATCACTGAGTATAAAAAAATGAAAATTTCAACAATTTTTGATAATTTAAGACCTACAGTAATTTTTTACAGTAGGGCATTGAAAAGTTATAAGCAAATGAAATCTTGTGCATAAACACACAAATTTCAACATGGTTTACCCTATTTTATGTTTCTTGCAATCCGTTAATTTCCGTTACAATATTATTTAAAAATTTCAGGGATGAAAGCTACACAGTTTTAAAAAATAACGACTCATAGTATACTAGTTTCCAAATAAATCATTTTGTTCTCTAATCAACAAGGCATTTAAGTTAAAATAAGGTAAATAAAAAGAATTAATCAATAAGAAACTCCTGAAGAATTGTAAAATACAAACTTTAATAGACAAAATATGGATGAACCAAGAGATAGCGATTTAATGGAATTATCGGCAATTGAAGAATCCAATTCCAGTCGACTAATTCATCAGTCATCTTTATCTAAAGGTTTCTGTGTTAAGGAGTATGAAGAAGCAATGGACTGCCTTAAAAAGGAAAATTTTAATTTAAAGCTAAAAGTCTACTTCTTGGAAAAAAACAGTAATGGTACTTTGCAAAATAATACTACAGGAATTGATAACTTCCAGAAGCAATTCACAGATATAAAGGTAACATTCATACAGAATCGATTATCTTACTATTTTATAATTTCTTTACGTGTGCCTTTAGGCAGAAAATGAAGCATTATCACATGAGTTAAATGAGAAGCAGCAATTATTGCAACAAGCTTCTTTAGCGTTCGAGTTGCTCGAAGAAGAAAAAACAAACAGTCAAAGTTGCGCTGAATTATTGATTAAAGAACTAAATGAAAAAGTAAAATGCCTTGAACAAGATAATCTAAAGTTAAATCATGCTCTAAATGACATGAATAAATCCAATTTGGGAAACGATACAGGATATGCTGATTTTCTTGGAGCTGTTGATTTCAGGGACATTGAGTTGCAACGAAAAGTAATGGAGATGAGCCAATTGTCCGAAGAGTACAAACAACAAGTCAACAGTATGCAACAGGAAATCCTTAAATTAAATAGCATGTTGAAGGATTCCGAATCACGAGCAGCAGCTCTAAAATATGAGCGAGATGAAATGCAAGATAAATTTGAGAATGCAGAATCTGAATCAAAATTGTTGGTAAGTAGTTAATAACATATACCCGAACATACAATGATCCTTGACATTCTAAGTTTTTGTGACACTAATGCTTCCGATAGTGATTACCATCGCTTTTCTGCTTTTATAATGAATGATCGCCATCACAAGCTTTATTGTGGTGATTGTAGTCAGTGATGGTAATCATCAGTAATCATGATTGCATTCACTAAGTACATGTGATAAAATATTTATTAAAATAACTAAAATTCGAATGATTAACTACATCCGAATGATCCTCTAAGCATAAAAAAGGTAAAAAATTAATTACGTTAAATACCTATAAGAAAAATAATTTTTTATTATATTTTTTGGGTAGTCAGTTGTATGTATCAGTCATTGTATGTTCGGGTGATATATCTTTACAATTCCTCATTTGGCGTTATTTACTTTTCATTAGCTTCGCAAATGTGTATTATTTCAAGAATTGCTTTCACACAAAAATCAAGATTTGCAGTTTTTGCAATTTCAAAATGAACGCTGTTTCAAAAAAATCGAATTAATTAATGAAAAATTTGAAAGATTAGAGCTTCTAAACTTTCATCTATATATGAATGCACAGGACTCCGTAAACTATGATTTTCTTACGTATCTAATGAGGTAGCTTTAATATTACCTTTTATTTCTTCTATTATTGTTTTAAACAGACAAGCGACTTAGAAAACGAATTATCGGTATTTAAGAACAAATGGGCATCGACACAATGCGAATTAAGTGATGTTGAAGTAAAATTGAAGGAGTCTGAAGACGAACGTGTAAAGACTTTAAAGTATTTGACTCAATGTTTGCAAACTTTGGATGAAAACTGTCAAAAAATTACAACATTGGAGTCAATGATTGATCAAAAGCAGGCATCTGGGATTGATTCAGAAGGAGCTAAAAAGGTAAGTTGCCAATGCATACATCACGAGTAATAATATTTGTCAAATATGTTTAGTTTCTAATCAAGATTAACAAGATAATTGCAAGATTAAATGATTGACAACCAATCTTACAGGACGCAGAAATTGGTGATTTGAAGATGCAGATTGAGAAAATGAACCAACAATTGAAAGAAGTCACTTCATCTGAGCTTGAAGCAAAAAATCAGGAAATTCAAAAACTTTCTCAAATTATCAGCAAGATCAAAAGTGACGAAAATAAAAATTTGTCAGATACACCGAGATTTTCATTTGATTATCTTTATGAAAGCTTCAATGATCTTAAATTTCAACAAGCTATGGAGATTAAAAAGCAGTCACAAACAAAAGTTAATGAGCTTATGCATGAACTAGTCGGTTTGGCAAATTCAAAAACCAAGGAACAATTCAATCAACTTAAAGAACAAATGGGTATTGTTATTGAAAAACAAGAAATAGCTGATAATGCTTTGAACCGTTGTGCAGAATTATGCTCATATACTTTGGATCATGTTCATAAGCTTGCACAGTTCTTATCTACTTTATTGGAAAATAAGGAAATACGTGAATCGTTGGGTAATCAAAGTCTTTTAGACATCCAAAATGTTCTTGATAAAAGCGTTGAATTTTCACGTTATTCAATCGACGGTCGTATTTCAGCATTTCCTGATTTATCTATGCTAGGTAGCTTACTTACCACAACCCGTGACTCGATTTCCAACATTCGTGAAAGACACATTGAAATTATTAAAATGGACAAATCAGTACAATCAACTGTCTACATTTGTCAATCATGTGATGATTTAAAATTTCAACTGAATGCCTTTTCGGAAGAATTTGAAGAGTTAAAGAAGATTAACCAACTGCTTGAAGATGAAATTTGTGAATATCGTGAAAAATTAGATTTTCACGATGGTGAGATTAAGAAATGCAATGATGAAATAAAATCGTTAATAGAAAATGAAATGGAAACTAATGTCATATTAAAGGATAGTCAAAATACAGTTCGTTTGCTGCAAGCAGAAAAAATTAATTTATTATCAAAATTGGATGGAAACGAGAATTTAGTTCAAAAGTTGGAAAAACAAATAAAAGATTTTGAAGTTGATTTAGAAACGAACTGGATGCTCAAATGCGATCATAATAAATATATCAAGAAGATAAAGGATGATGTAGTTAATGCTGAAGCTCAAACGGCAGCTATACGTTTTGAGCTTGAAGAAATCCGAAAGCTTTATCCTAAATTTAAATCTAATCGAGCAAGACTTTCAATAGAAGATGATCAAGAAAATCAAATCAAACTCGATAATTTTGAATCTGTACAAAATCAAAATAACTGCAAGGTGGATATAGGTGATATTCAGGTGACAACGAATAAACTTGAATTTTCAGATGATGATCAACATCAACAAAGTTTAATACCTACAGCATCTTCTTCTAATATTTCATGCAGGAACTGTCCAAAATATAAAGGTCAAATTATTGAATTGAAGAAATATTTGCAAGCTTGTTATGAAAAACTCAAAAAGCAATCATTTCAAAAGAATCTTATCGACCGTAATGTTCAGCAGCAATTAAATGAGACCGAAAATTTCATGCAGCATGCTCGTTCCAACATGGAAAACATTTTAAAAAGCAAGGAAAATTTAAATTAAAATTACAGTATAGTTTATGTATATTTTTTTAAAAAAAATTTTAATTGTCTATTTAAAAAAAATATTTTTATTCTTACTTTAACAATTCTTTAAGCATGTCCATAACTTTTGCCATGTTAATTCTATTATTAGTTTTATTTTTAATTTCTCCAGCAATAGCCAATAAAATTTTACTTTTGCCAGCTTTATATTGTTGTTGCATTTTTTGTCCACTTTCAGACCCTAAAACTTTTTCACAGATTTTTCTAATTTCTTTATCATCCGATATTTGCTTCCAATCATTCTCCGTTGCTATGACTTGAGGTGATTTTTGGTTGTGAAACATTTCTTGCAATACAAGTTTTGCCAAATTTAAACTTAATTCGTGACTCTCAAGCATGTCTATCAATTCTCCCAATTGTTTGGCACTTATTGGACACTTTTCTAAATCCGTTTTATTTTTATTACATGTGGTAAGTAATTCATTAATGAGGATATTTGTAATAAGTTTAGGTGACCTTAATTGATTTGAATTAATGATGTCTTGAAAGTATTTATGAAGAACAGGATCATTCTAGGAAAGAAAAAAAAAAATAAAAATAGAAAAATAGCTAACAGTTATTTATGAGAAGTATGGCAAAAACTTACAACAATGATTATAGCAGTTGTCTCTGATAGTTTATATTTATTAATTAATTCGTCCCTTAAGCCTTGTGGTAGTACTGGAAGGCTTTTCTGGATAGATTTTACATTAACAAGCTCGTCTGATTCATTACCATTCATGTTTAAATGAAGAGGCAATAAATTAGGTTCAGGCATATAACGATAATCTTGTACAACTTCCTTATCTCTCATTGGAATTGTTGTTTTAGAAATAGCATCCCACTGTCTGGTTTCATTTATTATTACTCCACCTCCAATTTTTACTATTTTTTGTCTTTCAATCTCATAAGCAATCGCCTGAGCAACTCCTCTGACTGAGCCTATATTTTTAATTTCCGTTCTAACGCCCAAAGGTTCACCTTCTTTATGAATAGAAACATTAGCATCAACACGAAGAGCACCCTCTTCCATTTTACAACTGCACGTTTCAATAGAATTAAATATTAGTATTAACTCTTTAACTAAAGCAGCAGCTTCTTCTCCATCCTCTAAATCGGGCTCAAACACTAATTCCATTAAAGGTATGCCTGCTCGATTTAAATCAATCAAACTTATTTTTAGCTCATCGTCATGCAATGATTTTCCACTGTCTTGTTCAAGCTGAATTTGATGTATACGAACTGCTTTATAATAAGGTTTAGAATTATTTGCTGGTGTTATAACCGGAAAAATTAAACTTCCTTTTCCAGCCAATGGAGCTCTTTGCTGGGTTATTTGATAGCCTGAAGGCAAATCAGAATAAAAATAGTGCTTTCTGTCAAACATGCTCACTTCATTAATTGCACAACTAAGTGCTAAAGCAGTTTTAACTCCAGCTTCGACGCATCGCTTGTTAAGAACAGGTAGACATCCAGGAATTCCAGCATCTAATAAACCAACACAGGAATTGATTTCCGAAGCAAATGTATTTTTTGCACCGCTAAAAAGTTTCGATTCCGATAGAATCTGTGCATGAATTTCCAGTCCAATGACACTTTTAAATACATTTGCCTTGAGTTTAGGCTTAGTAGAAAATGTTTTGTGTCCGTTGTTAATTGTTTTGATTCTCAAATTTCTATTGAATAGCTTACATAAATTTAGTTGAATAATTCCAAACATTTTTGTTTCCCGAATGTTTTCTAATGCTTCACAATGTTTTATTTACTCGAATTTTCGATCTTTCGTTTAAAGTTTCGAAGATGATTCGCTAACTGATACTTATCATCTATTAGTCAGTCACCAATAATCTATATCCATTAAATTTCAACTTGTATTAGTATTGTGACGAATATTGAATAATGAAAGTTTTTTTATATTTTTTAATTGCTTTTATTGCCAATAAAGAAATTGTAAAAATAGTGGAGGCAATAAGTTATGACAAAAAGAATGTTGTTATCATAATGAGTGATGATATGGGATTTCATGATGTAAGCTATAGGGGAAGTAACGAGATTCCAACTTACAATATAGATTCATTAGCTTATAATGGAATAATCTTAGATAGGTACATATTCCTTTAATGTGGTTTGTTGAACTCTATCTGTCTATGTTGGTTGTTTAATAGAAGGGCTTTTCGACGATTTTTTTAGGATTTTTGCTCAACGGAAAAATTAAATTTGAAATTCATTGGCACCATCTTACAAAACATCAAAAATTAAATTCTCAAATATCTTAATTATTCAATCATTTTCCCCAAATATTATGATATGATTACGAAAAGTAAATGATACATTAGCTATTCTGCTTATTTTAAGAGCTTTAACATCATAATTGATTGATATTTTCATGACTTTTTGAATTTTATTTCAATTTTTGTTTGTAAACAAACAACTCACGACAGAAAAAAATTCAAACTAGTGTATCGGGTAGAAACCCAATGCGGATTATATTCACACCGTACTATCATAAGTCTTATGAATAGACCAAGATTTGCCCATCATAAGTATGAAGGTATGAAGCTTGATAAGTCAACTAAGCTTCGCTCAGCATAAGTTTGAAGTTATAAAGCTATCGCGTAAGCTGAGCTACGCTCAGCATAAGTTTGAAGATATGAAGCTAGAGAGGCAGCTGAGCTTCGCTCAGCATAAGTTTGAAGTTATAAAGCTATCGCGTAAGCTGAGCTACGCTCAGCATAAGTTTGAAGATATAAAGCTAGAGTGTCAGCTGAGCTACGCTCAGCATAAGTTTGAAGATATGAAGCTAGAGAGGCAGTGGAGCTTCGCTCAGCATAAGTTTAAAGATATAAAACTAGAGTGTCAGCTGAGCTACGCTCAGCATAAGTTTGAAGATATGAAATTAGAGAGGCAGTGGAGCTTCGCTCAGCATAAGTTGAAGTTATAAAGCTATCGCGTAAGCTGAGCTACCCTCAGCATAAGTTTGAAGATATAAAGCTATCGAGTCAGCTGAGCTACGCTCAGCATAAGTTTGAAGGTATAAAGCTTGACGAATATGCCAAATATTCTTTAAAAGTTTTTTAAAAAAAATTTTCATCCAAAGTTGAATTTTATAAAAATCACAGTCAACTTTTGTTTTAAAAAATTCGTAAGAAAGGAAAGTTTTTTGCCATTTCTGAAGCAACGGCTGTTCCTACCTTGCCCAAAAACAATACAGCTCTTCTATAGAGTAGCACGGATCAAATGTAAAAAACTAGAAGTCTCTACGATGTCTCGTTATTGAGATTTCTTGCTGATTAACTTGCTTGCTTGCTTGTTTGCTTACAGAAAGCGTATTTTGCGATTTTCTCAGCAATGCCACAACCAATTTGAAATCTGTTTTTTGAAAATGATGTAAAATTTCAGGCACAAACTTTTCTTCTTGCCCTTTTATAACCAATTTTGCTTTGTTTTCTCACAAAATGCGAAAAACTGATTTTTCAATCTGAACAAAACCAATAGATTCACACGTGAAAACGGTGTGAATATAAAAATTTAAAATCGTTAAAAAAATTTTCATAATTTTGTTTATTTAAGTATGTTTCGGGGACATATTATTCCTTTTTTTGGAGCCAAACAAAACAGAATAAAAATTTCTGTTTTAAAAAAAGAGAAAAAAATTCGTGAGTGACGCTTAATTTTATTCAGTCAGTTGTATATCAAAAACGTAGTAAAAGATGGGGATTTTTTTTCCCACAGGATAAAATAAGTTTAAAAATTGGTCACTTTTGTGGTTTCGGAGATATTTAAGATTTAAAGCGTCACTCACGAATATTTTTTTTTCGTCGGGTCCCAGAATAAAATACAAACTTCAATCATGTTTGAATCACTGTTGCATTCTGGCGATTTGTCTGGATCAGATAAATTCTGAGACAGAAATTTCTTCATAAAGATCGATTCTATGTGAAGATAGAAAATCTAATCTACACAAAGATTATTTCTCAGGGCTCGTGAGGAGTAAAAAACATTTTGATTTTCTGAAATCTGTTATTTGTGTGATTGAAAAAAATCATGATTTTTCAAATCCTACGTAAATCTTCACATAGGATTTCATTACGTAGACAAAATCTCAACGTAATGATTTTCATTACGAATTCAAAATCTTTCCGTTAGGATTTAACCTACGTGAATTTGTAATTGTTTACATTTTTTGGAAACTGATTGTTTTTATTGAAACTTGAAACTTTCATTTCAAATGATCCAAAAACAGCTGAGCAAGCCCATTTAAATTCCAATCTTACAGAATTCGACAAGTATTTGGATGAAGATCAACTTCCAACTGGATCTAAAAGAAGTAACGAAGCAGCTGTGTTAGAAAAAATTATGAAATGCTGCATACAGCATAGAGTTTCGGCATCTGTTGATGATTTTGACATATTTAAGTTCTTGAAGTTTAAATTTACGTATGACAGGCTCATGTTGGACACTTGTTTGGCTGTTGCAGCTACTCCTAGCAATCAGTCTTCAATAGAGCGATCGTTTAGCGCATTGAGAATTCTTTTGAGTGACTTACGATCCAATCTATTGCCAAAATCCGTAGAAGACATTATGTTGTGTCACTTAAATTCCTCATTATTCCTAAAATTTAATTTTGATTTGATATAGAGCATAATATTGTTATTAAAATATATTTATCTTTGCTATTCCGAGCTCATAAGTCAATCTTTGTAGTATATCAATATATTTGATGTCCTTAAGGCATTAATTTTGTCAAGTTTCAATAAAAACAATCAGTTTCCAAAAAATGTAAACAATTACCAATTCACGTAGGTTAAATCCTAACGGAAAGATTTTGAATTCGTAATGAAAATCATTACGTTGAGATTTTGTCTACGTAATGAAATCCTATGTGAAGATTTACGTAGGATTTGAAAAATCATGATTTTTTTCAATCACACAAATAACAGATTTCAGAAAATCAAAATGTTTTTTACTCTTCACGAGCCCTGAGAAATAATCTTTGTGTAGATTAGATTTTCTATCTTCATATAGAATCGATCTTTATGAAGATAGTTTCTTAGCTAGACAAAAACTATTGAAGAATCTACATTCTTCATCTAGTGTAGACATCTACATTTGCAACACTGGTTTGAATCTTAATTTGTTGAATTATTATGTTACATTGATATTGATCGTAGGAATCTGATTATGATTGAATAGTTATTATTGAGAAAAAGGATTATTTCAAGTTAAATTTCATTTTGTTATTTGGAAGGACCAAAATAAAGTATACCATTTTTACATTATCTAAGAGGTTATGGACCTTAACGCAATGAAGCTGTTAGAAAAGGAATTTGCCATGTACGAGCTTCATGTTGGACATAAGGTGAGCTTTTACAAGCAATTATTCAAGACTGAATTATCAATTGGCGGTGACATGCAGAAACATTTTCAAAAATTGTTAAAGATTGTTCAAAAGATCAATGATTGTGGTGATGAGCTTCAAGACAAAATGGTTGTGAATGCAATTCTGTCAAGTCTTCATGCTGAATATGGTAATTTAGTGACTGGATTAGAATCATGGAAAGAGAAAGAGCTAACTGTGCATAATGTCAAACTCAAACTTATCAATGAATGGGAAAGGCGAAGTGAACATTCAAGCAAAAGATCTGATGTTTATTGTGTCAAAAGTACTGAAATTGATCCAAAGAATCACATCAAGTGTCATCAGTGCAAACGAGAAGGACATATCAATCGAAATTGTCTAATGTTGAATATTGAAGAAAAGGAAGAAGTCAAGAATGAAACTGTCAAAATGGCAAACTTTAGAGAAGGGCACAGAAGTTCTTATGATCCGAGAGACTCTTAGTGGTATATTGACTCAGGGGCTTCGTCTCACATGACATACAGTAAGTCGTTTTTTATTCCTTTTGATGAAAGTGTTAAGGGAACAGTTACTGTTGCTAATGGTGAGAAGGTTGAGTACATAGGGAGAGGAAATGTCCATTTAAACGTATTTGTACGAAACAAAAGTTTTAGTGTAGATTTGACTGACGTACTTCTGGTGCCATGCATTGACAGTAATTTGATATCTGTCTCAAAGCTCTGTAATAAGGGCAATAAAACTGTTTTTGATTCAGCTGTTTGTTACCTTAAAGTAGAAGGTGTTGAACAATTGCAGATTGCTGAGAAATCAGGCGATATGTATGTTGTAAGAGCTGAAGTCGAAAGATCATGTTTGGTTAACGACAGAGTGGATAGATGCTGTGTACATGAATGGTAGCGAAAATTAGCTCACAGAAATTTGCATGATATACTCGCGATGAGGGATAAAGGTTTGAAGATTGCCGATTGTGATTGCACAAATGTGTGTGAATCATGCATTCTATAGAAAATTTCTAGAAATCTATTTCCAAAGAAGGAAACACCTGTTGAAAATACACTTGACTGTATAGTCAGTGATATTTGTGGCCATATGCCAACTACCTCAGTTTGAAGATTTCGATATTTTGCAACATTCACGGATGTTTATTCAAAATTTAGTGCAGTATATCTTTTGAAAGCAAAGAGTGAAGTACAGTCTAAAGTCATAGAGTATTTTGAACTGTTGAAAAACACATTCGGTCGAAAAGTTAATATGTTCCGGACAGATCGAGGCACAGAATACTTAAGCGAGGAAGTTCAGAAGTATTTACGTTCAGAGGGTATTCGATTTCAGTGTACTGTGGCTTACTCACCAGAGCAAAATGGTATTTCTAAGAGAAAGAATAGGACTTTAGTTGAGGCATGTAGGACGATGCTTACTGAGTCAGGGATGTCACGAGAGTACTGGGATGAAGCCATAATGAATGCGAATTACTCATTGAATCGTGTTGTGAGCAAAGATGATTCAAAGTCTCCGTATGAGAAGTTCTTTGAAAAGAAGCCAGATTTCTCAAATTTTAAAGAATTTGGAGTTAGTGCTTATGTGATGATTCTTCATCAAAAGAGAAAGAAGCTAGACCACAAGGCAGAAAAGTTAGCGTTCGTAGAATATGACGGATGGTCGAAAGGGTATCGACTTGCAAATGTGAAACAGCGGAAGATAATTGTGTCACGTGACGTTGTGTTTCCAAAAGAAAAGTTCATGAAG